CACAGAATTGGGGATTTGGGAGATACCTCAGTTGGCCATCTGGCCCAACTCACATTTGAACAAGAATCCCCTCTCTAACACTCCTCCTCCCCCAACAAAAGGTCATCCAGCCGTAGTTTGAAGACTGCGAGGGAAGGAAGGGAGGGCTTCTTCATGAGACAGCCTATTCTACTTTTGAATAACTGATTATTAATAAGTTTTTCCTCATATTAAGGTTAGATTTGCCTTTTTGCAATTTCCATCTCTGTCTCCTAATTCTTCCCTTCGTTGCCAAGATGGGTCCCTGTTTGGGATCTTATGTAATAACTGTCTTGTGACATATCTTATGTCATTAATTTAATTCATGTAGTCATTCACCTTTTATGTACACGTGTGTGATGGCACATAGAGTGCCAGGGAAGAAAGAAACTTTAAGGATCATGAGTTCAAGCCTCTCATGTGACCAGGGTGGGAGTGGAATTTAAATCCAAAAAAAGATAAGTGACTTATTCAAGGTCACACACACACACACACACACACACACACACACATACACACACACACACACACAGAGTCATTTAGTGGCAGAACCAGAGCTAACCTCTGTCCACGCCCTTTCTTCTATGCCATGCTCTCTATGGTAAGCTCCATGAAGGTAGAAATTATGTTTATCATGCTTTGTAGTTTACACAAAAATCTACTAGCACAATGTCATCTTGTGACTCAGTAAATATTTCTAGAATTAGTGTGTAATTGAATCTGATTTACTTGGAATACTTGGGGCATGGGGACCCTCTCAGCGCCATGAACTGCCTTGGCTTATTCTCAAGGCCAAGCATTTCCATTTCCTTCAACTGATCCTTATACAATATGGTTTTGAATCTTCTCCCCAAATTTTTTACCCTCCTATGAATGGACTACCATTTGTCACTATCTTTCCTAATATGTGGTGCCCCGCTGTGGTCTGAGGAGAACAAAAGACAATGGGGTGAACAGAAACTTATGAATACTGGCTGATTAGAAGCCAAAAGTATAGTCAAAGTATTACGTATAATTTTGAATTTTGCTAAATTTGATAAAATTTTAAGCAAGATCAGGGATCCGTCATGAATTGTGTGCGTGTCATTTTATGGATGCCACTTTGTCAAATTATTGGATGGGTAGGGAAGGTCTTTTTGCTTCATCACTTAATCTCTCTTCATGAGTCATTTTTTGTAGGGTTGCCCTGCAACTGTTGTGTATGTATCAAAACAGTATTCTTTAAATGATCTTAAGGCAATCTCTTCAAATGCAATCCTTCCAGTCTAAGCAGCAGCTAGTGAAAGCTTTTTACAAATTTTGAAATTTTAATAGTGTGATACACAGCAAAAGAAAGTTGTTTTGTTGAATTTTAAAATTAACCTTTCACATGTAATTTTTTGTGAGTCTGTAATATTTACATTTCTGGAGTGATTAAAGCTTAAATCTGTATTAAAAATGTTTTGTGTATGTTATCCACACCATGTACAAATTTGCTGTAACTATGATGAAGGTTTAAGGTTTCAATGATGATAAAAGTTTGAGAGAGGAGTAGTAAGCTTAACACGGGTATAAGCTCTCTTCTTTAAGGGAAGAAAAGCAATGAACATCTCTATTCTATATTCAATTCAACAAGGACTTCATAAGTGGCCATTAAGGGGAATACAAAGACAAAAATAAAGTGTCTGCCCTGAAGGGGCTTATATTCTCGCGGGGAGAAACAATATATTCACAGATAAATAAATACAAAATATATACAAAGTTAAGTACCAAAGGAGAGGCCTTCTAACAACTGAGAATGGAAGAATGAATTAGAAAGGGCTTCATGCAGGATAGGCCATTTAGGCTGAGCTAGGGATTCTGAGAGGCAGAAATGAGGAGGCAGAGCATTGCAGGGGTGGAGTGGGTCCTCTGGAAAGAGAAGATGTCATGTATCATGTATAGGTAATAGCAAGTAAGCCATTTTGGCTGGAAAATGTGGAATGCAGAAAAGGGAATGGTGTGAAATAGATATTGTAATATCATAAATTTAGAGCTGGAAGGAAAGGTAGGCCAAGGTAAGGGGAGAAGCTAGGTGGTACACTAGATAGAGCACTGGACCTGGAGTCAGGAAGACCTGAGTTCAAATCTGGCCTCAGATACTTACTAGTTGTGTGACTCTGGGCAAGTCACTTAACCCTGTTTGCCTCAGTTTCCTTATCTGTAAAATGAGCTGGAGGAAATGGCAAACCACTCTAGTATCTTTGCCAAGAGAACCCCAAATCAGACTACGAAGAGTAGAACATTACTGAACCAGCAGAACAACAACAACAAAAGAATTTGTAGTTTAGTCTAGCAGCAAGAGGGAGGCACTGAAGATTTTTGAGCAGAGGAGGGACATGGTCAGATCTGTGCTTTAGGACCATTATTTTGGCAGCCATATGGAGGATGCATTGGAGATGGGGAGAGACAGGAAGCAGTGAGACCAATTATAGGTTTTTGTTTAAAAAAAAAAGTACAAATGAGAGCTGGTGAAGGCCTGCACTAGGGTGGTGGCAAGAAGGTGGATTTTTATGGAGAAAGAAGAAAGAAGACTTGGCAACTGATTGCATGTAAGAGTAATCCTAGGAGCATAGATTTAGAAATTGAAGGAATGCCAGGGGAATGTCTAGCCCAACCCCCTCATTTGCAGTTCTTTTCCAAGCCAAGCTATGAACACTGAGGTATTTAATCTGGTGGTGGTGATAGGGGAATATCTACCCTCAGTGCACACAGCCAGGAAGGGGTAGTTAGGAACCATAAGCCCTAACTCTACATCCTTCCAACATAAAATTTCTCTTTTTCTTCCTCCTCTTCCTCTTCCCTCTTTTTATGTTCCAACTATGCCTTGGCTTTTTTTGCCATTGACCTCACTCCCAGAATACCCTTCCACCTCTCCTCTTGATGAGGTGCTTGGGTGCTTGTACTGGGACCCCAATTCCAAGACCATATTTTCCCCTAGCCTCAGAAACACTATCCCTGGCAGTTTCTCCCCAGCCCAAGGACACCATGCCTAGCAATTACTCATGAGTGGGCCCGAGCAACACACTTATCTCTCTCCTTGGTGCAGTTACAAACCGTACCTGTAGGAGTTATTAGTTTGAACTAGCTTTGAACTGACTCATAAAGATATTCGTACCCGCTGGACTATCTATAACAACTCCCTGCCTCGTTATCTGCATCCTCGACTCCTCATGTGTATCCTAGATTTAGGACTTCTGTACACTCCCACCGTCTACCTTGTCAAACAAGACACTGATTGGTGGCAGACTGGACAACCCACAGTCTGCCCTGACCACTTGTTGTCTTAGTGACGTAGCACACCTAAAAAACCATACCTTCTAGTAGCCCCCTCCTGGGCTTTTCCTGGTAAAACTCTGGGTACAACACTATGCAATAGATAGGAAGACTGCATGTTCCTTAAAGGACTGACCACTCCTTAACCACTCCCTAATCCCACCCTGAACCACCTAGTTAGCATATTTGGCACATGTTTTGCTGTAGTTTATCACATATGAACTTTAACTGCATCTCTTTAACGTCACAGGTTCCTTAAGAACTTTTGCCTGCTAAAAAGCATAACAATAAATCTTTGCCACCCAGCAAACAAGCTGTACCCTGGACTTAGTATAACAACAATCTTTTGCACTCACCTTCTGAATGAACTCAGCCCCAGTAAAATCCCAGAATTGTTTCACCCCAGCACCTGAGTGGTCCCTGAGCTCAGACAGGTACCTGCAGTACCCACGTTCTAGTCATGAAGTCCTGCTATCAATCAAACTTGTTGCTGCTACCCCTCATTGTCAGGGCCACAGCTCACTGTGTAGCACCAGTATACGTACTGAAATTTGCCTACATGAAAGCGGGTCTCCTACTAGAGGGGACCCTAGCACACTGTGCCTGGTTTCCCTCCTCCAAAGGAATAAAGAAAGTTTTGCTTATAAAAGAAGAATAAATAAATCTTTGTCAACTTGACTTAAAGAATGCTTGAGTCCATGAATTCATTCCAGACGACCCTGTCCTTGAAGGGTCTGCAGACTGCAACAGTCTTCTGAACTAAATTCGAGACCCAACACAAGTCCACCATGTACTACAGATATGATGATTGCAAAGGCTTAAGAGAACAGGGGTTGAGCATGGCCCAGGGCATCTCCAATGGGAGACCAGAAACAATAGACATTGATAGTGTCTATATTACATGTTTTCAGGAAAGTCTGTGTGGCACCGGACTGCTTAGGAGACAAAATTTCTATCAGCTATCATGGGGTGGGGAGAGAACCTCTAAGCTAATAATAACTCATTCATATGCACAAATGTAGTTTACAGGTATAGATATATGTATAGATGTACACACATACATGTGTGTGTATAATTTTGTTGTTCAGTTGTGTCCAGCTCTTCATGACCCTATGGACATGCCAATACAGTCCATGGGGTTTTCTTGGCAAAGATACTGGAGTGGTTTGCCATTTCCTTCTCCAGTGGATTAAGGCAAATAGAGGTTAAGCCACTTGTCCAGGTCACACAGCTACTAAATAGCTTAATCTCTGTTTGAGGAAATTGAGACTAACAGAGATTAATCAATTTGCCCAGGGTCACCCAGCTAGTAAGTGACTAAGGTCAGATTTGAACTCAGGTCTTCCTGATTCCGGGCCCAGCATTCTATCCACTGAGCCACCTATCTGTCTCTATAATATACGTGTATGTGTGTATACACATCTCCACCAAGCACTTTGCCCACAATCCCTTGAGGTAGTAAGTAGTGCAAGTATTAGCTTAGCAGATTCAATGAGGGGTCTCTGAGGACTCCTCCATGGTCCCTGAGGTCCCATACCAGTCCAGAGCTACGATCTTATGACATAGAATTCTGATGTGTAATAAAGCTGAAGAGGTAGCATAGGGCCAAGTTGTGACATGGCACATATCTAAATGACAAATAGAAGAGCTGGCTTATCTATTCACGCCAGGTATGTTCTTTTTTTCAGGACCGAGAAGGGGGATGGGACTGAGGATGAAGATTTCCGACTGGACTGCCACCACAGCCGATACCCGAATCGTAAGTGATCTCACCTCTAAGATGTCTGTGTGGGTTGAGGATGTTCCATGGGTGCCTGGTCCCACTGTGCCCCACCCTGCTCAGATGCCATCTGGAATGTCTTGTTTATTTCGGCTGACCACATTTAAAGAAGACTATTGAGGGGGTGGCTACATGGCACAGTGGATAGAACTCTAGGCCTGGAGTCAGGAGAACCTAAGTTCAAATCCAGCCTCAGACACTTACTAGCTATGTGACCCTGGGCAAGTCGCTTAACCCTGATTGCCTCCTCACTCCCCGCAAAAGAAGAATATTGAGGAGTTGAAGCATGTACGGAGGGGTCGTGAGAGGACTAGAGACCACGTCAAATGAAGATCAGTAAAAGAATCGAGGTAGTTTCTCCTGAAAAAGAGAAGACTGAGAAGGGATAGGAACACTGTCTTCAAGTATTTCAAGGGATATGGAAGAAGGATTAGACTTGTTCCTCCACATCCCAGAGGGCAGACATAGGAGTATTGGGGAATGAGTGAAGAAAGACAAATTTGGATTCATTGTAAAGAAAAACTTGCTAGAAATTAGAACCGTCCCAGCATGGACTGGGCTGCCTTTTAAAGTGGGGATCTCTCCATCACTGGAGGTATTCAAGTGGAAGCCAAATGGCTGCCCGTAAGCAGTGCTATAGAGGATTCCTGCTCAAATACAGGCTGGACTGATCTCTGATGGCCCTTCCAGCTCCTCTAGTCTAGAAAGTCACTGCCCAGGTCTTTTCACAGCTCTCTCCAGCATGCCCCAACTGATTAGCTGCAGCAAAGCTCTATCATTGCACAGTTGCAACAGAAATGCCCCCCTCACTCCCAAGCTGTGCAGTGAATGTTTCAGAACAAGTTGCAGTAAATAAAACGGGGAGCCGAGTCCAACTGTGCAGAACAATAGCAGACCGAGGATAGCATGGTGGTTTAGTTAATGAATGGCTAATGAGTCAGGCCAAGGGCTATACTTCCCCACGGATGGAATTAACTACGAGCTAACCCGACTTCTTAGCTGAGATGTCACTAAGCCTGCTTTGGCGTAGATGAAGGGGGAAAATACACACACAGATTTATATGCATGTGTGTGTGTGTCTGTGTGTGTCTCTGTGTGTGCCTATGGATATATAATATATATAATATAATGCAGTGCCATAATTCACATATGTATTCATATATACAGATAGTTCCCGTTTTATGTAAATTTGCATTATGCAAATTCAACTTTACAGAAAGAAATCAGTATTCCAAAAACACACCTATGTTAACTTCACTGTACAGTACCAAGCTCTCTGTCTCTGCTCCTGCCCCTTGGCTGGGCAGCCTTCCCACCCCCACCCCCTAGCCAAAAACAAAACAAAACAAAAACCTTAAAAAAATAAAAAAGCCTTCCAAATGAAAGCAGAAGAACCAAGCCATGGCTGCTGCTGGATTGGGGACTTGGCTTGAGACCTCTAAGAGATGAGACCTTTGCCCTGCTCTGCCCACCTACCCTTGCATGTCTGCCTTCTGTCTGTTAGGATACCACATCTGTCCCCCACCCCCAAATATCACCCGTTCTCTCCTGTCTGTGTCTGTGCCCAGCCTCCGCCTCTGTCCCTCACACACACACATACATATTCTTCCTCTCAGTTCCAGCCAGATCCCCATGTGGCTACCCCCCCTCCAGTGTTCTTCTTCCTGCTCTTGCTTTTCTATCCCCAGCACTTAAATGTCCTTGAACCATGTGCTACCCCCACCTCCACTGGCACGAAGCCTCCTCCCTGCATCCCTTCCTCCCTCCCTCCCTTCTCTGGGCAAATTTACATTATCAGTTTACTTAGAGAGCTGACAAATGGTCCACTTATGTTAAGGAGAACTATGTGTATACATATATATGTATAATATATAATGTATATATGTCTGTGTATGTATTATATGTGTGTGCATGTATATCATGTATATAATACATACACATATACATATATGTAGATAGATAGATAGATAGATAGATAGATAGATAGATAGATAGATACTGGAGCCCAAGGGTATATTCATATGTATGTGTATGTATATAACTAAATTCATGGTGCTGCCTTTCATACCTCATCCATAGTATTTGGTTCTTGTTACAAAAGCAGTTGGACAGGGCCTTTGGGGGCAAAGTTCTCTGATGGTCTTTGGGTCAAGTGCTGGTCAGGGCTCAGGGACTATAGACTCCATTCCTAGCAAAGGCTCCAGAAGACCTTAGTCTAGATGTCACTATTTGAGTATCTTCTCCTCTGTCATACAATATAGACTGTTAGAATTTAGTATCTTAGAGCATAAAACACAGAATGTTGGAACTATAGGAAACTGTAAGACATAGAACATCAGCAAGTTATTTCCCATCTCTGAGACTCAGAGGGGATTCGGTTCCATCTCTAACATCCAATGTTCTAATATCTGGGAGTGGAGGGTGAGAAGCACATTAGAACATAGAACATTGGGCAAATGTGGGACCAATGAAAGGAAAGACTTCCTAACAACCAGAGCTGTCCCAAAGTGGATTGGACTCAAGGTAAAAGGGGCTCCCCATCACTGGAGACATTCGAGTGGAGGCCAGATGACCATTTATAGGCAATGCTGTAGAAAGAATTCCTACCCAAGTACAGGTTGACATTCAGAGGCATGAGAAATGTTAGAACATAGAATGTCAAATCTAACACACTGAACATTCAGAGATAAGAAGGGACATTGAATTATAGAATATTAGAGCTGGAATCTAATCCTCCCTGAGTCCCAGAGACTGAAAATAATATACTAGTGTCAGACAGTGAGTTAATGGCAAAGCTGAGACTGATACACATTTCTTACCCTTTTCAATCTTTCTCCTTCTCTTCTACCCCTCTCACCTCATTATTAGCCATTTCTGGCCACTAAAATATGCCTCAGTATGTCAGTCATGATCTGCCTTACCTCTTCAGCTTCTCAATTTCCTTTGATGCTGCTACTTTTCCTAATCCCTTAGCCAGGGGTGAAGAACCTGCAGCCTCAAGGCTACATAGTCCTCAAGTGGGGCCCTTTGACTGAATCCAAACTTATTAAGAAGATGCTCTGTTGGTTGATTGGTTGATTAACTCATTTTCCTTTCTGACTTCTCTTTCTCAACCTTTTTTGTTGGTTCATCATCCATATCATACCCCTAACTGTGGAGGTACCCCAAGGCTCTGTCCTGGATCTTCTTCTGTTCTACTGCATTCTCTCATTTAGTGGCTTTATCAGTTCCCTTGGGTTTAATTATAATCTCCATGCAGATGACTCCCAAATTACATATATATTATACATATATATATATATACATATATACATATTATACATATATATAATATATGTATAATATGTATGTGTGTGTATGTATGTATGGACGTTTGTATGTATATGTCCACCCCAGTATCTCTCCTGAGCTCTAGTTATGTGTCTCCAACTATTTATGAAACATTTCATTTCAAAGTGGATTTCCCATAGGATTCTCAAATTTATGTGTGAAATAGGACTCACTATATAGAAATAGACATATATATATTACTTAATAGTAATTTATAACTATTAATATATAAATATATATTACTTAATAGTAATTCATTTTTCCAATTACATGTAAAGATAGTTTTCAAGATTAATCTTTGTAAGATTTTGAACTCCAAATTTTTCTCCCTCCCTCCCTTTCTTTCCCCCTCCCCAAGACAGCAAGCAATCTGATATTGGTTACACATGTACAATCATGTTAAACATATTTCCACATTAGTTATGTTGTGAGAGAAGACTCAGAACAAAAGGGAAAAACCACAAGAAAGAAAAACCCCCAAAACCAAAAAAAAGTGATAATAGTACGCTTCAATCTGCATTTAGATTCCATAGTTCTTTCTCTGGATGCAGTCGGCATTTTTCATAATGAGTGCCTTGGAATTTTGTGTATACTTATTAATGCACGTGTATTTGTTTATATAAGTGTATACTTATTTATATGAGTTTCCACTTTAGACTGTAAGTTCCTTGTCTTTGTATCTCCAGCAACTAGTATAGTACCTAGTACATATAGTAGGCATTTAATAAATGTCTGTTGATTGAATTCCTATATATCTTAAATACCAAGCTTTTCTCAGAGATATTTGGTATAAAGATTTTTTCCTACTGATAATTTCCCTTTCTATTCTAGCTGCATTGATTTTGTTCATGCAAAAACATTTTAATTTTATGTAATTGAAATTACCCACTTTATCTTTTATGATTTCTGCTAACCTATATTTGGTTAAGAATTCTCCCCCTAATTGTAATAATGAAATATCTCTCTTTCTATCCTTTTGCATTTTTTTAAATGACGTGGCCTTTTAGATTTGTCAGGTATCTATCTGGGAACTTGATATTAGTCAGGGTGTGAAATGCTGGTCTAAACCTATTTTCTTACAGACTGCTTTCCAGTTTTCCCAGCAATTCATGTCCAGTATAGCATCCTTTCTCAACTAGGGCTTTTAAGATGCTACCAGGTAGCATGCAAATTGGTTACATTTTACTTCTGATCTAGAAAATGCCAGAATAGGCATGACAGACAGTCCTGGTAGCTGGGTTTTGCTTTCAGCTGCAACTAGAATTTGGAAATGATTGCAGCTGTCAAGTTAAATGCTGGTGATGAGACTTCGATTTTTCCAGGTGTAACAGGGTGAACCTAAGTGAGAGGACGTCAGTTCATCATTTCTGAGAAGGGCTTCTTGAATCCAGCTGCAGACTTCCCCCTGTTTCTTCTCCCCTGCAAACAGCTTGAGAGATTTCAAGGAAGGCTTTTTCAAGGGGTCCAAACCAGCTTGCTGTTTTTATTAGATCAAAATCAAATTCAATACACTGTAGCTCAAGTTGTCTACTTTATTAAAATGGAAACAGACTCTGTTTCTGCATCAGATGTAGATAACTGTCTTAAAGGATAGGTAGCCTCACCCTTCACAGAGACACCAGAATTCCCAATACAGAAGGACAGGGCAGCTGAATTAAGACAATATCTCAGGCTCATGTTAGGTGTATTTGTTTCACTCCCTTTTATATTTCCCCTAGAAGTAAATCTGTATACTTTGGATTAATAGCAGTTGACAGTGCAATGGGGTAAGTGAACTCAGCCTGATCATAGGTGCTGGAAATATGGGAATTTCAGGGATGGAGGGAGATATAGCATACCCAGAGACCAAACCACCTGACAAAGAAAAAGATCTGATCTTGCCTAACCAGGCTTTCAAATCCCCTGGGTATGTGAAGCCCCAATTCATATTTAAAACAGAAAAAAGGAAAAGAAGGGATGAAGGAGCAAGTATTTATTAAGTGCCCACATTCTGGTGGTGAAGGCAGCACATACAGGAAGTCTCAACTGCAAACCAGGTGGAAAGGTCTGTGGTTCCTAGGGTCAAATGATAATGCCTCTTCTATATTTGTATTTCCCCTGATAAAACTTCTTTCTGATATTGAACCATTTGGTAGTGTCAAAGCTACCAAGAATTTTCTTTTTCTGGGTCTTTAGGAGCTGAGGCTCCTGTTGAAGCAGGTTTTCTTCACAAGGATTGCCCCATAGGACCATGGTTGTCGGGGTCAGGCTGCGAGCTTGGTTAGTGGTCTGGGGAGTGCAGCTGTTCCTGGGGCTCTTAGGTAGAGGGTCCTGGGTGGTCTATACCCGGGTCTGAAGACAGGTAGTAATTTAGGCAGTGACATTCTGAATTGATGAGATGCCATCTGTAAAATGAGAGGTAACAGTCTATAATCTATGTATCTAGTTCTGAGATAATTGGTTGGGGGTTCTTTTTAACAACCAAAGAGCTCTAGCTAGAGGACAGAACCAAATTAGTAAACCTAGGGCCCTGTTGTGCCTGGCCCTGGACATCAGTTCCCTGGCCAAGGTCTGAATAAGTCACTGGAGTTTTCAATACAACTTGTTTTGGGCTGTGGTTATTATATTGCTATCTCCTCTAGGGAAATTGTTTCCTCTTTACTTCTCCATAGGCTCATAGAGGCCAAGAGCTGGAAGGGGCCTTAGAGCAGGAATTCTAGCAGAAGTCTTAGAACATACAGCATTAGAGTTAGAAGAGACTGTAAGATATAGAATGTCAGAAGTGGAAAGGCCTTAGAAGTTTTTGAAGACTCCCTAGGTCTTAGGAAGTCAGTAATCTTAGAATGTTTGGGCTGAAAGGGACCTTGGAAATCACTGAGTCATTTTGCTGATAGGCCCAGAGAAGAAGTTATTTGCCCACAGCGGCACATCGAGTTCGTTCTGATACTTTATTAGCTGCATGACTTACAGGCTAGCTGCTTCACTTTTCTGAAATTCAGTGTCCTCTTCTGTAAAATTGACTAATAATACCTCCATTTTCTACTGTCTTAGGGCTATCGTATGGAAAGTACTTTGTAAACTTTAAAAATGTCGAAATGTGAGTTATCACTATCATTTTCAATAACTTCAGGTTACACAACCACACAGACATATACACTTAGATAATATGAATGGGGACTGTATAATTATTTTGTTGAGTTGTTTCAGTCATGTCCTACTCTTCACGACCCCATTTGGTGTTTTCTTAGCAAACATACTGGAGTAGTTACCATTTCCTTCTCCAGCACATTTTACAGATGAGGAAACTGAGGCAAAACAGGGTTAAGTGATTGCCCAGGGTCATACAGTTAGTAAGTATCTGAGGCCAGATTTGAAGTCGAAGATGAGTCTCCCTAACTCTGGCCCGACATTCTCTCCACTGAACCACATAGCTGCCCCAGTATAATTATAGCCAATAGAACTGAACAAAGAATCCTACCAGAGCACTGTCTAAAGGTGTTCCTGTGTCCCCAACCTTCTGGAATTCCTCCTTTGCACATGTTCATCTTCTTTTTCCATATCCCGTTTGAAGCAGATCCACACTTTCTATTCCCTTTAAAATCAGCAGGACCTGAGGTTGTTGTCAGCTCCCTGGCAATGCAGAGGTAGAGTGAAGACTGGCCCTACAGAGTCAAGTGTCTCCAAGTGAGTCCACACTTGGGCTTCTCTGCAGGAAAACTTGCAGATAAATCTAAACGCTATCTTGCCGCTGAGCATTGTGAGTTATCTAGTGACAGTCAATTGCACACCTACTATGTGTGGCACTTAGGACTAGGTGCTGTCTAGTTAATTAATATCCATTCTTCTTGGCCTTTGTTCAACACTTTCACTTTTAAAGTTCTTAATAACCTTTTCCATTCATTATTCTTGCCAGCTACTCAATCAGAATCATTCTGATTTGATGAATTATGATGCTAAGATTCATGATAGCTTTCAAGGCCCAACACAAATTCCACATCCTCCATGAAGCTTTAAAAATTTTCCTCTGTTCTCAACATCCCATTGATTATGGCCACCTTCCAGGATGTCACTTTACCCGGCAACTTTCTAACATATTCACTGTGCATAACTGTGGATTTTAGTTATGTGTTTATATCTTATTCTACTATCAGATTATAAATTTCTTGAGGACAAGGACTGTCTTATCTAAACTCTGTGTCCCTCTAATACAGTATTGAGCAAATGATGTTTCCCAAATGTTTGAATGAATGAGTGAGTGAATATGGACTCTCCCCACTCAGATCTGCCCTCAATATGAGTCAAGGTCATAACAACTTGACACAGGTCAGTAGGCTGCCTAATTGTTTCACCCATATGCCTCAGCTCCCTGCCATCATCTTCAATCAACCTGTATTGATCACCTTCTATATTCAGGACCCTGTTCTAGGCAGTAGAGATCAAGAGAAGTGCCCTGGGAGGGCTCCTGCTTTCGAGGATTCATTGAGATCATATTTATGAAGTGCTTAATACAGTGCCTGCCACATGGTAGGCACTATATAAATGCTTATTATCTTCCCCATTCCCCTTAAAGGGCTTGCAGCCTAGAAGGAGACAGGAGCCACAAACCTAATTCTTTAGTACTCTAGGTACTGTGACTTCCTTGGTGTGAATCTTCCTTCCACTGGTGCAATACAGAGACAACCCTGCCCGCCCCTTCCCCCCAACACAGACACACCTCTTAAGAGACCAATCTTCATGAGTAGCTGAAAAAAGTTACCATCTGGTGGCCAGCTCTCTGGCGATGATGGGCCTCTCCAAGCTTAGCTGTACTGGTGCTCAGACAGTAGACACAGTCCAGTTGTTCCACCTACTCTTGAAACCTTTCCAGCTTGGGGACACCTGCCAGAACTCACCTACTACTGCTATAGCTTTTAGGGACCCAGGGTTACCTCTGTACAACCCACATTGGGACATCAGAGGACAGAAGGACATAAACAGATAAATAATACAAGCATGTGTATGCTAGATGCCAGATAAGTGGTAGCTATGCCACTTCCTTTCTCTGATCCTCAATTTCCTCATCTATAAAATGGGCACAATATTATTTATCCTTCCCAACTCCTGAGAGTTATTGTGAGGAAAACATTTTGCAAACCTTCAAGTGCTGGAGGAATAGGAACTGTCATGATTCTGATTGCTAAAGATAGTCAGTGCTATAGAATTCAAGGGAAGGAAAGATGACTGAGTCTTGGAGCTGGAGTCTTGCCAAGGTCTTGCTAAGTGACAAATCACTTTATCTCCCTGTGCTCAGTTTCCTCCTCTGTAGAATGGGGATAATAATCCCTGCCCCACTTCCCTCATAAGGTGTATGTGTTGGGGAAGGCTGGCTATTATAAGATGTAATGGATAAGAAAGGACATTGTAGACAATAAAATGTAATTCAGATGTATGCTATTACTATTCCTGTTACTATCATATTATGGTCATGCATATTGAACTCCCCTCTAGGAGATGAGATATCAAGAGCTAATCATATTTGCTTCTGTCTTTCCTAGGACTGCAGAACACCCACCTCTAAATGACACAAAATCTCCAAGAAAATTCGGCTCCATGTCCCTAGCAACCATCCCAGTCTCTTCCATCAGACAGAGCCCCCTGTACACCATCCCTTCAGGACCCAGCTGAAAGAGCTCCACAGAGCAGAGCTAAGTGTCATTAGAAGACTTCTATATCGTGAGATCTTTCCCTTTGTTCTCCCACCTCCACTGCAAGATGGCAGAAGCCTAGGCCCAGCAGCATTGGCCTCTCCAGCTCAGCCCATTCAGGATTCCATGGAGTATCCAGTACCATCTCCATGAGTTTTTAACTTGTGTCCAGCCCAGCCCATCACAGGATGAGCCTAGGTTCCAGCCCAGACAACCCAAGGCCTTACCTGGCAACCAGCCCAACCAGTCAGGGGCCCTGCCTTGGATACAGAGTGGCCAATCCCAGGCTTTTTTCTGAGGTCCAGCGGTTCAGTGTGGAAACAACCTGGCCCAGCTCAGACTGAGGTCCGGGGAAACATTAGAATCTGTGACCCCAAGAGTCACATGGATCCATGAGCTGGCCTCCAGCTCAGTTTTCTTAAGGTGGAGCTCAGCCCCTGAGCTCACTCAATACAGGGTAATGGAAAGACTGTTGAACATGGAGTCCGAATACATGGGACCAAATGCCAGTTCTATTACTTACTACCTGTGTAACTTTGGGCGGGTCACTTCTTCTCTGAACCTCGGTTTCCTCATCTGTAAAATGAGGGGTTTAGATTAGGCCATCTCTAAGGTCCCTTCCAGTTCTAAAGCTGATGAGCCTTTTCTCCATCAGAGCCGCACCCCAATGCTTCTAGTCACTGGGTGATTTTGTGGAGCAAAAGCACAAGGCCCGAAGAGACAAGCCCCTCCAGGGACTGTTCCCGGTGGGCCACGAGGACCCCTTCTGAAGCAGAGCTGGCTGACGCAGAGGCAGAGGAGGCAGGGAAGAGGCTGCTGGGTGCAAGAGGTAGGTGGGAAAGAGAAAGGGCTGACCTGATTTATGCCATCGTTGGTGGGAAATGACCACAACCAGGCTCTCAGCCCAGGAAGACACAATTCATCTCCCCAAAGGAAGCCTCCCTGTGGGATGTTTCAGCCCCTCCAACAGTGATTACTGAGTAACTTAATCCAAGTTCCCAAAGGGAGATGGGCCTTTTATGAGAGCCCATATGGAACAATTAAAGCCTCTTCCTCACTGATAACTTATCTAGACTTCAGGCAATGCATGCCAAAGGAGATAAATGGGTTGGGGAACAGTGAAGGGACTGGAGATGAGCAATGTTTTAAATCCTTATTGTTAGTAACTTTACTGGCAACTAGTCATAGAATCACTGAATCTCAAAGGCCATTCCCTATCCAACCCATTGCTGGACAGGAATCCCTCTAGTATGTCCCCATGAGTGGTCATCTTGCCTCCACTTAAAGGCTTCCAATGGATGGGACACTCTGGACATTTGTCCTGGCTGTCCCCCAGGCCTGGAATAATCTCCCTTCTTATCTCTGCCTTCTTGCTTCCCTGACTTGCTTTGAGTTCCACCTAAAACACCAGGAAGCGTTTCCCAACTCCTCTTAATTCTATTGTCTTCCCTCTTTAGTTATTTCCTATTGACCTGGTCCATAGATTGTTTGTACATATTTGTTTGCTTGTCTCCCCCAATAGATTGTGAGCTCCTTGAGGGCAGGGACTGTCTTCTGCCTCTTTTTGTATCCCCACCCCTTAGCACAGTGCCTGGCATGCAGTAGGCACTTAACAAATGTTTATTGACTGACTACATCCCTCAGACAAAACTAGAAGCAAGCATGAAATTTAGGCTCAAGGGGAAGAGCTTCCTAACAACTAGAACTCTCCAATACACTGGCTCTTTACAGAGTTTTAGAGCTGAAAGATACCTTAGAACTGAGCCAGTCAACTCCCTCCTTTTACAGGGAGTATGGAGAAGAGAATGGATTTGCCTAAAGTTACATGGGTGGAGCAGAGTGGAGCGAGGATTAGAACCCAGGTCATCAGACTCCAAATTCAGGGTTCTTGCCACCAAGCTTTTATTATTCGAAGGATCTAACAAAGGACAGATGACTGACCATCTGTCAACTGTTATAACAGGAACTCCTGCATTGTGTGGGGACTGGATGAGAGGAAGGAAGGAGTGAGGAAGGGAGAGAGGAAGGAAGGGAGGGAGGAAGAAAGAGAAGGAGGAAGGGAGGGAGGGAGGAAGGAAGGAAGGAAGGAAGGAAGGAAGGAAGGAAGGAAGGAAGGAAGGAAGGAAGGAAGGAAGGAAGGAAGGAAGGAAGGAAGGAAGGAAGGAAGAAAAAGATTAAGTTATTTCTAGGTCGTTTCCAACTCTAGGATTCCATGGTAAGAAATTTTGTACAGCTGAGGACAGCACTAAGACCTGACTGTTATTCCATCAGCCAACAAAAATCTTTGCTGAGCACAATCTATGTGCCTAGTACTGTGATAGGGCCTGCCTTAAGCAAAGAGTAGAAAGGCACAAAATTAAGCTCGACACAATATCTTTGCCCCAGAAGTTCTGACATTCTAGCTAGGGAGACAAAGACACCTTAAATAGGTCAGAGAATAATGGAAGGCAGTACATGATTCACAGGCACAGAAGGGGAGAGCAATGAGCTATTAGGAAGCAGTTAGTGTGGACCTGAGAAGGTGGATTGAAGGAGGTAGGCCTTGAAGGTCAGGAGAATTTGACATAGACTAGCTAGCATTTATATAGCACTTTAAGGTTGACAAAGTGCATTACAAACATCTCATTTGAGCCTCACAACAACACTGCATTTTACAATCACAATTTGACAGTTGAGGAAACCGAGACTAAGAAGATAAGTGATTTGCCCAGGGTCATACAGCTTCAGGTCTTACTGACTCAAGTGCAATACTCTAACCATTACACCACCTAACTGCTTCCTAGGATCTAGAGCTGGAAGAAGCTTTAGAAACCATCTATTCAATGCCTTCATTTTACAGATGAGGAAACTGAGACCCACAGAGGCCATGAGAAGCACAGTGTGAGTGAAGGTGGGATGTGGGAGAGGAAGAAAGAGGAAACCAGCCTGAATAGATTGAATAGAGGAGCTCCCCCATTGGAGGCCTGAGGAAGGCATGAGGGAGATAGAAGTGAAAGCATGGAAATTGTCTAGAACAGGGCTGGGAAACCTGTGGCCTTGAGGCCAGATGTGGCCTTCTGGGTCCTCAGGTGGGGCCTTTTGACTGAATCCAAACTTCTGTGAAGAGCTTGAGGACCTAGAGGGCCACATGTGGCCTCAAGGCCGCAGGTTTCCACCCTGGGTCTAGAATGTTGAGGTGTACAGGCGCCAACCCAGCTCTGTTGACATGAGGGTGGGGGCTCAGGTTCAGACAGTCCTGGCAAGAGGGTATGACTAAGGAGCAAGTGAGTCATGCCAAGTGGTGCAAAGAATGACCCAGAACATAGCCTGTGTTCTGTCAAACACCTTCTGGTCTCTCCCATTGTGAGCAGACACATGAGTCAACTAGGAATAATATGCTCAAATTACCATAGGACTTACTGAGTGACTTCTCTTCCTTTGATCCCCCCTGCACACACACACAGCACAGCTAGGCACATAGTAGGCATTCAGAAAAGGATGGATGAATGGGTGGATTGAGTACATTTGGTGGAATTTACCACTGAAGGAAGGAGTGCTGGGAATTTTGACACAAGCCCCAACTCCTTTTGGGCTAATGGTCCACATCTCCATTCCTATCTTATCTGGAACCCTATGTCCCCTGCCACACCCCTAGCTCAGCACTGGTCTTCCCGGTACATCTATTGGCCAGAGTTCCAAGGATGGGCTACAGCAGTAGAGTCAAACTCAAATAAAAACAGGGGCCACTAAACCGTGCAGAAGAATCCCTGAAGGCCATATATTAACTTAGTTTTAATAGGTAATGGTATCTGTTTATTGCATTTTAATTTATTTTGTTAAATGTTTCCCAGTTACACTTTAATCTGGTTTGGGCTACGCTGGGTAGGGTTATGGGCTGTCTCACCCCTCTGGGCTCTACAAGAGTGTTATTCCAGGATCCACCACCCTGATGGGCCTGAGCAATGCCTCAGGCAAGTCAGATAGTTCACCCTAACAGCTCCCCTTAAGGTCTCATGAAATAGAGTGGTCCTTTTTCAGTGTCTGCCCATCCCTCTTGCCTATTCCCATCAGTGAGGAGGATACTGAGATACAGCTATGGATCTGGAGTATAGACCAACCTAATACTGAACAGGGTCCGCTGACCATGGTGTTTTTCATTGTAGGATGCTGGTCCCTTTGGATCAATTCCAAGCCTTGGACCAGGAAGAAGAGAAGCAGAGTCTTTAAGAAGTATTGCACCAGGGAGACCCTGAGCCTCTGCCTGCTGCCCCCAGAGGTGCTATGTCCTGAGCAGAACTCCAGGCAGTGAGGACGCCTCCAGCCAGGAAGCACCCACAGTCCTTGCCCCAGCTCTTTTGGGAATCACTTCTTCCCATGGCTCCATCTGGGGCAGCCAGCCTGCCACACCAGCTTCTAGCACTGAAGGGACCCCTAGCTGTATGCCAAGGACTGTGACAGCTTGAGAAACTCCTCTCTGGCCTTGGGGCCTGGCTCTGAGGAAAGAGATATTCCTGCACCTAGAAATGACCCTAGCAAGACGCCGCTCATCTGCTCTTCCTGTGGACCATGGGGCCCAATTGTCATTTTTTTCTTTTCTAAAAATAGAGAGTTCTTTATCAGATTCATTTAATTTGTATATGTTTGATACTGGTTTTGTAGGTACCAGCTCCCATCCCTTTCTGGGGATTTTATTCCTGGGGAATGATCATTTTAAATGGGGATTTTATTCCTTGGGTAAGCATTATCGGAAAGAAGCAAGTAGTTCTTTCAGTCAGTAGGGAACATCTCTGGCCACCCTCCCTCTGTCTCCAAGACCACCAAACATGGTCCACCTAATCATCAGAGGCCCCCTGAGGACACGGGCCATCCCTACCCCTGGGAAACCAGAACCTCACCACCAGATGGGCCATTACTGCTCACCCTCACTCAACCCAAAACAGCTTAAAAGGTAGAGCACAGTGAGGACTACACTGGAAAGCCTAGTATCAAATTTAGAGTCCAGGGACCTGGGGCAGACCCCTTACTCTGTTACCCTCTTTCTCTGTGACCTTGAGCCCCCATTTTACAGGTGAAGAAACTGAGGCCTAGAAAAGAAAAGTGACTTGCCCACAGCCACACAACTAATCTGTAAAAGAGCCAGGACAGACCTGGAGGTTGCAATCTGCCCCTGTGGAGAGAGTACCCACATCAAGCGAGTCCCAGAAATTTGAAGTTGAAGTAAATAATAGCAATAAAATATTGAAAACAACAATAATAAAATGTCATTATTCACTTCAATTTCAATTGCATTGTATTATATAAGCATAATGTGGTATAGTATAATATAAATATATTGTATATAATATGGTTTATCAGTAGTCTGTGGTATTATTGTTCTATTATGTTCTATTGGTGCAATGAAAAATGTCAGAGGACCTGGGTTCAAGCCTTCCTTCTGATATTTACTCCCTGTGTGACATTGGGTAACTTTGCTGGACTTCAGTTTTCTCATCTGTAAAATGACAGGGTTGGATACCCTCTGAAGTTCCCTACAACTTATGTTATATTATACATATATATATTAGGCTGTGTGGTGTAGTGGATAGAGAGCCTGCCTAGGATCCAGGAAGACCTGGGTTCAAGTCCAGTCTCTGACACATACTGTAGTGATCCTGCACAAGTCACTTAACCCTCAGTGCTCTGGGTAACTTTCTAGGACTGAAAGTTACAGAGAAGTTACCAACCTGCATTAGCAGAGTGAGTTTTCTCATCTGGGAGTTCCCTATGTTGATGAAATCCCAGGTCCAGTCCCTCTCCCATATTTTATTATATTATAGATGTTGGCCCCTATATGGCCTCTTACCTCCTTTAACAACATTTTTATCATCATTATTATTATTATCATCATTATTGTTATCTTCCACTTAGATTGTATTATTATTTGCATCTATTTCTAGGACCTGAGATTTTGTCATTGTGGGTTCTTCTCTCTACTGATGCAGATTGAAATTCCTCTGCCCCTTGGTAGATGAGCTTTAGGAATTATTGGGGCTGAAAAATTCATCACCCTTAGGCCAAGCTGGTGATGAGCCTCCCTGACAGCCAGGCATGTCCTCAGATAAGATCCCTGATGAATCTGTCCCCTGGCTGCTACCCAGAGCTTTCCCAGCCCAAGACCATGTGTGGCTGGCATTGCCTATGAGTACCCAGAGCTGCCTCCACACCAGCGTAAAGCGTGGAAGGTTCATTTATTGATTCACTTTAAAGGATTAATATTAATAACTACCTGAACTCTCTTGGTTCCATTTCAGTGGAATAGAAAGTAGGTGGGCATCTATACGCATCATCATGGGAATGACCTATAAACAGGGGACTGGGGAATCTCAGTGACAAACCTAAGGAATCTTCTGGGACTCAGGAAGGGCCCCTGATGGTCTGGGGAGTCCCCAAGGGGTTCCAACCCAATCCCAGAACTAATCAGAAAGTTAATGAAGCTGCATTATGATCGTGTTCCCTTGAGGGGCCTGCCTTTCTCCTCCAAAGGCTGTTGATGAAAAAAGCAGAAGGAAAGTAGACTGTTGGGATTCTAATCTGCTCAGACAAGGAGTCACTGCTGATTTCCTTCTCTCTTACATCCTTCTCTCCCCCTCCCTTCCCTCCAGTCTTCTTTCTTCCCAGGGATTCCCAGCTCAGGGTGTCCTCAGTTCTCAGGGGAGAGTGGCAGAGAATACTTAGACATCATTAAGAAAAATTCGTAGCAGTCTTGATTGCCTCTTTAAGCTCAGGAGAGACCACAGTCTTTCCTGGTTGGGTTGTCTTGGAACCCCAGAGAAAACAAGCATGAGAAGCAGTCATGCCTTTCTGCTGCTGTCACCCTGTGGAGTCAGCTGCTGCCCCAGGAGTCTGGAGATCACTGTCCTCCCTGGCCTATCTCGCCTTTCCCTTCTCTCCTGTTGTCTTCACATGAAGCCTGGGGTCCTGACCGTATTCATATTCCTTTAAAAAATGCATCAATGGCTTTTGTCTTTACAGTCACATTCCTTCATCTCCTGGCCTCCTCCTCCTCCACCAAGTGCTCCTCACTCAGCCCAGGCCCCTCTTGCATTGATTGCCTGCCCTGAGCAGTAACTCCTCAACATCAGAATGTCAGCACCAGAACCTGATCCAAGCCCTTTATTTTACAACTAATATTAATACTAGCGCCTATTTCCATAATGCTTCCAAAAGCTTTCCTCATAACCATGTAGGGAGTGTTAAATATTGTTATCCCCATTTTACAGATGGGAAAACTCTGGCCCAGAGAATTCAAATAACTTGACCAAGGTCACATACCTGGGAAGCCCCAGAGTTAGGTCTTGAGACCATGTCTTCTGATTCCATAGCCAGCCTTCTTTCCATTATCCCTATGGCATGGTGTCCCCACACTCCCACTGTTAACATGCCTGTCATCTGAATATTAGCCTAGCTAAAGTCAAGAAGGCTTAATGCTGTTTTGGTCTCAGGATGATTTTTTTTTTTAACCACAGCAACCCTGAAAGACCCTCTGTGAAGTCAGAGAAACGTCAAGATCTATGTGAATGGAGGGAGTACCCACAGTGGTGAGATCACAGATGCTCAAAGGATTGAATTACCAAAGGGGACTCTCCTGGAAAATTATCCCAGTTAGAACTAGGTCAGAGATGTGAAGAAGAGTGCTGGATTCCTACAGCCAGGGAAAGATAGCACTGTGCTTGGGATTCCATCTCCCAGTTCCAAGCCCCTGCAACACTGGTCTCTTCCCTTGAATTCCTTGTTGTTTGCTGGGATGCCATCTTCCTAACTCCAAGGCTCTAAAGCTAGCAGTCATTGACACTTTCCTCACCCAGTAAACCCTTGATCCTTCCTTCCAATGTCACTCACACCCATCCTTTACCCATATAGTAACAGACCTTCAAATCAAAGAGGGACCCTAGGACATTGAATGTCAGCACTCAAAGGAACCTTAGAGATAATCAAATCCAACATTCATTTTGTAGAGGAAATTAAGACCCAGAGAGGGAAAGTCACTTGCCTGAGGCCCAGTGATAGAATTTAAACTAGAACTTACATTTCTTGTCCCCAAACTCTCATTTCCTGCTCACAAAGTTCTTGTAAAGTTTCAGAATACTACAGACAAGTCGTTACAAAATGAATGTTGCCAGAGGGTTTGAATATTGACTCTATTTAAGCTCTACAAGTAAGTAACTTTTGCAAAATGATTTTCCTTTCCATTTCAACGTTTATAGAAATCTATGTTAGTACAAATTCTTTACAAAATAAATATACAATTTATAAAATAAAAATAAAAAATTGTGGGCTCTTAATAAGCCCAATTCTTCAACCTGTGAGTCTGAAATGCGGTTTACGTATACCCAGGGAGGAAAGCCTCTTCTGTTTGTGTTGGGTGAAGACAAGAAAAGATGATGAAGCAAAAAAGCAAAAACAAAAACAAAATGGATTTTGGATTCCAGACACCTGGTTTTGAATTCTGAGGAAGGGGAGGAATAATACTATGATTGTGGAATGTCATATCCCCTTTCTGAGCTTCATGTTCCTCCTCAGAAGATGGAAGAGTTGGACGTAATGACCTCTGAGGCATTTATATCTTTAGGCATAAACTCAGTGAGACTTTGAATGGGTCTACTGTTTTTCTTTGACGTTTCCACAGTAGAAGAGCCAACCACCAGAACTCTTAGGAATTCTCCTAGGAGTAGAACAGACGCCTGTGCACAGCAGCTACAATAGCAATAGCTCATATTCAGTTGTGCTTTAGGATTAACAAATCAACTACCCTGTGAGGATGGCAGTCTGTAGCAATCAATACTCCCATTTTGCAGATGATGAAACTGAGGGTCAAGGAAGATTAGTGACTTGCCTGGGGTCACACATCTGGGAAGGGCCTATTGTCTCAGAAGGCATTCTAATAGAAGAATGGAAAAAACCCATCACTTAAAATGCCAAAATAGGCTCTCCAAAGAATTATATGGACCTGTTATTCCTTCGGCCCATATTGGTTAATTGCTAATTGGCAGCCATTTCCATGCCTCTTTCTCACACCTCAGAGCATTTTAAGAAGTAGCTCAAGCCTCCCTCTTCCCACATGCCCCAGCCATGAGTCTCTCTGTCTGTGTCTCTGTCTCTGTCTGTATCTCTCTGCCTGTCTCTCTCTGTCTCTGTCTGTCTTTGTCTCTCTCTATGTCTCTCTGTCTCTCTCTCTCTCTTTTTTCTCTCCCTGCCTGCTACTTTCCTTAGTACTTTTGCAACCCCTTTTCCTTAATAGATAATTAATCTAGTTGCTACCTTTGCAGCACTGGTTATGGTGATGAGACACATAGGAATACCTAAAAATGTGCCTGCACTAATGGCACAGCCATGGGGGTTCCCAAGGACTCCACTCCTGAGCAGTCAGAAGCATCTTCAGGAGTTTATGAGCTAGCCTCTGAACTAGTGGTGGACATGTGACTGATCATTGGCATGTACTTGAAGCCTTCCCAAACTCTCGTGCTCCACCATCATAGTCTTTGAGTATCCAGGATAATTTCTACATCACAGTAAGCCACTAAATGAGACACTAAACAGAGGCGTATATATGGTACAAAAAAAAGAGTTGAAGTGGGGCACAAATTAATGAGCTTTTCCATGCTCCTGCCCAAACAGTTGAGCTGCCTCTCAGAATCCTAGGCAACGGGATGTAAGGTGAGAGTGAAACGCTGAGTCGGGGTCCCTGGATTCTAGTCTCAGCTCCGCCACTAACCAGCTGTGTGGCCTTGAAGTTACTTGTTCTCTCTCGGCCTCAATTTTCATTTTTGGGGTCATATTTGACTAGCTTATGTCTAAGAAGTTATACTTTCTGTGATTCTCATTACTAGAAATCCTGTCTCAAACCCTTGTAAGAAATCAACCTCCGACTTTTCTCCTCAAAAGAAGGGGATATTGGAATTGAGTCTAGAATCTGAAATGTCCTGAGATGAGGATGAATTCCACTTGAACACTGAGGACCTAATGGGTTACCATTTAATAACTACCATTCCTCTCCCTTAGAATCCACATAGAGAAGTGGGAGTGGGATACACTGCGGATGAGACTTCCTACTGGTCCCTTATCAAAGAGAAGGGGAGATCCAGGTATCTTTGAATATGACTTGGAAGCTACCTAGGGGGTCATCTAACCCAACTCAACCTTGACTCATGAATATGCTCTGCTGTGACTCATGAGCGGCCAGCCAGCTTTCTACTTGGAAAATTCTTAATAATGATAAACGCCCTACTTCCCAGAGCATCCAATTCCACAAGGGAAGAGTATAAATTCTTTTCCTTATCGTTGAGCAAAAAACTGCCTCCATATAACTTCAATTTGCCCTCCAGGGTCAAAGAGAATAAGAATAATCCTTTCTCATGCTGGTTCTTCAAATACTTGAGGACAGCAATCTTCCTTGTCTCCCCCATCCCTCTCCCTACATTACACTCCTCTTCAGGCTAAACATTTCCAGTTCTTTCAAATGGTCCTTGTGATCACCTCTCCTAGTTCCATCAGCTCTAATAAATAATAAATTAATAATAGCAATAGTTAATAAAAATTATAGCAGCACTTTCTCAAGACAAGATTGCTAATACTATTAATACTTATTTCCAGAGTGCGCTATTGGTTTTCAAAGTACTTTACTCATGATCAACCTCTACCCCCATGATAAAGACAAGGCAAGTATTAGTTTATCCATTTTACAGAAGAGTAAACTAAGACTCAGCAACCTTAAGCCCAAGGTTGTACAGCTTATTAATGATAGAGATTGGTATAGTACCCAGATCTTCAATCAAGATATAGCCATACAAGGGCTTTTAGGTTTGAGCCAATTACATTTGGATAAAGCTCAGGAATATATCTATTACTACAGACTAGCTATAACTTTCCCATTTGGTTTGTTATTTTTAGCCCCTATTGGTTTCCTGTAATTACTAGCAGTGAAAACCCTTAGCCAACTTAAAGGTAGTAATTATTGTTTTAAAAATACGGATAATTAGGAACCTGTATCTTCCCCCCACCCCCACCCCCTTCCCCTAACCTGTAAGAAGAAGTCTCTAGGTAGAAGAGAGGGTAGAAGTAAAGCAGGAAGCCTGAGTACCAGTGCCTTCTGGAGAAGACAATGAGGGGACTGGAAGAGCTGGCTTGGGCCTTAGCAATGTCCCCTGAGAAGTTTGTACCAGCATAAGACCCTCTTCCTTCAGACCACTCTTTTTCTTTTTTCTTTTTTTTAGGCAGTTGGGGTTAACTGACTTGCCCAGGGTCACACAGCTAGTAAGTATGAAGTGTTTGGTCTGAGGCCGGATTTGAACTCAGGTCCTCCTGACTTCAGGGCTGGTGCTCTATCCATTGTGCCACATAGCTGCCCCCACTCAGACCACTCTTATAGGTCCAACACACATTGCCAAGCTAACCTTCCTAATGCCTAGTTTTGATGGGAGTCACTTTCCCCAAACATCTTCAATGGCTTTTCCTTGCTAATAAAATTAAACTCCAAAATATGGCAGGCAGGTGCCAACCGACCTCTCCAGGCTTGTCTTTTAATGCAAAAATAGTGGTAATGCTACGTAGTGAAAAGAGCTTGTCAGGAGACAAGCTTGAGTTTCAGTCTCACACAGTGCGACCTGGAAGGAAGGAATGAAATAAACATTTTTTAAAAATATTTTATTTTCCCCCAATTACATGTTAAAATTATTTTTACATTTTTTAAAGTTTTGATTTCCAAATTCTATCCCTCCCTCCCTCCCTCCCCCTACCCCAGACAGTAAGCAATCCGATATAGGTTATACATGTGCAATCATGTAAAACATTTCCATATCAGTCATTTTGTGCTAGAAGATGTGAAAAAGAAAGGAAGGAAGGAAGGAAGGAAGGAAGGAAGGAAGGAAGGAAGGAAGGAAGGAAGGAAGGAAGGAAGGAAGGAAGGAAGGAAGGAAGGAAGGAAGGAAGGAAGGAAGGAAGGAAGAGGAAAATAGTATGCTTCAGTCTGTATTCAATCAATATCAGTTCTTTCTCTGGAGGTGGGTAGTATGCTTCATCATTAGTCCTTTGGGATTGTCTCAGATCATTGTATTGCTGAGAATAGCTAAGTCGTTTACAATTCTTCACTGTACAATATTGCTGTTACTGTGTATAATGTTCTCCTGGTTTTGCTGACTTCACTTTGCATCAGTTCATGTAAGTCTTTCCAGGTTTTTCTGAAATCATCCTGCTTGTCATTTCTTATAGCACAATAATATTCCATCGCAATCATATAACTCAGCTTATTCAGCCATTGGCCAGTTATTGGGCATCCTCTCAATTTCCAGTTCTTAACCACCACAAAAAGAGCTGCTATAAATATTTTTGCACAAAGAGATCCTT